GTGCGGTATATCGCATGTGCTTCGCACAGGAACCGCACCGCATTCCTGTGCAAATCACATGCGATTTGTGTGCGGTGCGATTGGAGCCATACATTTTGTATGGCTCTATTCGCATCGCACCCGCACCAAAAATGTGTAGGACCCGTTTTTGAGTCCGCACTAGAATCGGATCGCATGGGTATTCACACCAATGCGATCTGATTCTGCACATCGCACCGTGTTTTGCGGACCGCTTTCGGGGTGTTGTTGACTTAACATACACATCTGGAGCGGTTCGTATGAATGGGGTGCGATTCTGATGGGGTGTGGAATTCGCACAGAAAATACTGCAAATTCTGCACCGCAGCAGTGTGAACCAGGGCTAAAGGTTGCATTTTTTTAAAAATATAACAAAAACATGTCATACTTATCTGCTCTGTGCAGTGGTTTTGTCAGGTCCTTTTTTTCTCAGGTCCCCCACTGATGCTCCTTGCTCCTCCCCCTTGACCAGTGCCCCCAATAGCAAGCCGCTTGCTATGTAGGCACTGCTGCTCGCTCCCTCCCTCCCGCGCCCAGCATAGGGTTGCCATCTCATCCCGAACACATATGAACTACACAGGTTCTGAGGCTAATTTAATGCAGATAACTCTAGGTTCACACCTAAGCATTTTACAGAAACGCTGTACCGTCCATTTAACATGATTTCTTATGGGACATGTTCACACTTGTGCATTTTCACCCGGTACGTTTTTTGGACTTTTTCGGTCAGGGACTTTTTTGAAGGCGTTTTCTTTCTACAGACTTCAAAGGAAATGCTGCAGCAAAGCATGAATTGCAATTTTGCTGCGTTTTAAATCTTCCCCGCAACAAGAAAAAATTTTTTTTTTAAAAACAAAATGCATCAAAAACATGGCAAAAATGCAAGTGCAAAATGCAACACAAAACGCAATGCAGAAACGGCTCAAACGCAACCTGGATAGGTGTGAACCTAGACTAAGGCACTAGTGGAGTTTAATTACCACCTTAATCAGCCACAGAACCTGTGTAATTAATATGTGTTTGGGTTTAAATGGATGAGGTGGCAACCCTAGCCCAGCTTTATGTGTTCATAAGACACATAAAGCCATGGCTTGGCCACACCCCCTGCTCTCTCCTCATTGGCTCACTGGCTGTGATTGACAGCAGTGGGAGCCAGTGGCTAGGGATGCTGTGTCTCAGCCAATGAGGAGAGAGAGACCTGGGACAATCAAGGCTCCCATGCACGTTGCTGAATTGAGAGGGGGCTCAGGTAGGTATTAGGGAGGCTGTGGGGGGTGCAGCACACAGAAGGTTTTTTACCTTCATGCATTATAAAGGTAAAAAACCTTTAGCCTTTACAACCACTTTAAAATTATCCAGCCTCTAGTCAGGAGAGGGACAGGAGTCAGCAGGCAAGAAAAACTTGAGAGACTTTGGTGCAGGCCGCACTGAACTGTGGGAGATGTAGTAGTTTGGCAGAGGGACACTGATATGATACTAACTGGAATGATAATAACTGGAATTCCCAAGGAGAGGAGCGGTATTTTCCCAGGCTGTGGAGTGAAGAATTTCCTCTTGCTGCAGAGAGACTGGAGGGTGTGCACCACTGTTCCTCTTGCATACTTTCCAGCGGCCATGATTGACTTTTACCACGGCTAGTAAAGACTGAGAATAGAGGAACTGACCCTCTACCTAGTAGCTTCTAATCATTGCATGCAGAGTTTAAAGGGACTGTACTCATGTGCATGACCTTAAAGACTAGGTCCCACCAGCACTAGAATCTGCCTACCAACTAACTGGATTCCTTATTTTTTTTTGCATATTTGTCACATTTAAATGCTTCAGATCATCAAACAAATTTTAATATTATACAAACATAACCCGAGTAAATACAAAATGCAGTTTTGTATTTAGGAAGGGGGCAAATACTTTTTCACAGCACTGTGTATATATATATATATATTTGCATAGTCACTGTGGGATTAGACATCATTGCTGACACTGTTTATCGCTGAGTTAACTTTGCTCTAGTGGTATAGTGTTCTAGACCAAGATTCTATAACCTAATAACTACATTGTTAAACTTACCATGAGCAAACAGATTCTTCTACCTGCTCATTTATGTGTGTGTAGCCTTCTGCTTTCATCTGTGACAATATACAGTACGTGTTTACTTATAGTGTCAGGGCCTGGACTTGAACCTGGGACTTCTACTGTGTGAGGCAGTAACTCTTCTCACTGAGCTACCTAGGATGCTGGACAACACTCTGCCTGATCTATTGGATAATCCTGCCTTGTGCCTTGTTTGCTCTTGAACCTTGAACTCCTTGCTCCTCCCATGAACTTCCTATATAAGCCATGTCCTTGGACTTCCTCCTTGCCAGATTATTGTGCCTTTACAGCCAATATTCCGCTTACTGTTCCTGCTGCTGTCTACACCTCCGCTACTGACCTTTGGCTTGTTCCTGACCACGATTTCATCTCATCCTAACGTACTACAATTGATCTGCTACCATTTGTGACCGACCCTTGGCTTGTGACTGACTCCGCTTTCGTCTGATCCCTAACCTGTTGATCCACTATTGGTTCCCAGTCTGCTCATTCCCTGGTGGGATTTTTAGCAACTGTTTGCTTAAAGCAGAACTTCACTCTCCTAATCAACCCTGGCCAGGGGCGGACTGACCATTCGAGCACTCGGGCGCTGCCCGAGGGCCCGGGGTCAGTAGGGGGTCCCATGAAATGCCCCTGGTACACTTTTTTTTTTTTTTTTATAGGTTTTTTTGGGTGTGCATTGAGTGTGGGCAAGGTCACAGGGGCCCCATGATCCCCTATTGCCCGGGGGCCCCATGAGTTGTCATTCCGCCCCTGACCCTGACTATTTTTAATCCAAAGAAATGCCACACACTCCAAAGAAATGCCAATAGATTAATTGGCTCCTGTCTAAATTCACCCTAGTATGTGTGTACAAATGGGCTATATACTTGTGTTATCACATTCTGCATGCTTCTACAAGCCTTCCTAAATGAGTAGGGTAGAGGAAGACTGTAATAACAAAGTTAATGGAGGCATATAAAACTGTTGGTATCGCTTTAAATATCAAGTATTGTCCAACAACCTAAAAACCTTAGCAGAAGAAACAATGTGAACAGAATGTTCAAGGGAGAAAAAGCGGTTACATAAAGGACAATGCCTTGTCCTTTATGTAACCGCTTTTTCTCCCGTGAACATTCTGTTCACATTGTTTTTTCTGCTAGGGTTGAGGAAAAACCTGGCAACCTACCTCATAATTAAAAAAAAAAAAAAAAAAAAAAAAACTTGCCAAGAAAAAATCTATGGAAAAGGCTCTCAAGCCTATCAGACTTTGGGCCCAAAGAATCATTGAGAGTCAGATACAACTGAATGGATAACATCATCATCAACAGTGTTTAGTATGTGCACTGCTCTTACAGTTTTTTTAATGTATATTCTTTTTGAAAGGGGACTAGCACATTTCTGTTTTGTGAGGACAAAATATTGGGTATGACCACCCGCCGATGACAAACATGTGAAAATAAATAAAGATGAGCCTGAGTGTCCCCCAAACTCGTCCCTATCCAAACTACCATTTAGCTCTCCTTTGAATGCCAAACAGCTGCAGTCCAGGACATTCCCCACCATCCCTACAGCAGATGTAAACAAAGTGGTGGGATGATGGTGATGTCATTGTCCTTCTATGGACACATGCCTATACTTAGCCAATGACATTGACAGTAGGCATGCCTCCATATAAGGGCACTGACATCACCAGCAACCCATCCCTTTGTTTACATGTGCTGCGAAATAGGGAATGACCAAGCCCCCAGTTGATTGAACTTCGAAAGAGAAAAAAGTGGAAGTTCGGATATAGATGAATAATCCCCCACATGTTTTCTACACAGTTGATGGTTGCTTTATTGTTTTGATCATTCAACAGTAAGTACAACCTCTGTATTTGCCAATCCTGCAAACTAATTTTCTGAAGTCAACCTAGGTACATTATGAAAAATTGAAAATTGAAAATACATGTGTATGAGCTACAACAACTCAAATCCTAGGCTTGATAGGGAGGGAAACATGCAGCATTATTGTGAACCCTCCTTCATATAACATAATGGTAGAAATCCCCTTTAATTTCTAAGCTGAGCTAATGCAGATTCACAAGGACCACACAGTATATAACATACATTTATTTAAGTAAATCCAAATCCATTTACTAAAATCTCATATAAACATGTTAATATAATATCAGAATGTACTGAAGGCTGGCCATAGATGAGTCTGTTTTTTTTTTTTGCCATTTGACCTGACCTATTCCCCCATCCACACATGTGAGGTGGATGGGGGAATCCTCTCCACTGTGCCATTGTATTTTGACATCGGGAGATAGAACACACAGATCAGCACTGCAGCCTATTGCCTGCAGCGCTGATCGAGTGGCTTTTTTTTCCTACAGGGCTGTTGAACAAAAGTCTATCAGTAGATTGACTTCTGTTCAACCACAGTGGCCATACATGGATTGGAATTCCCTGCTGAACTGGCTGAATTTTGATCCATGTATGGCCAGCTAAAATGATTAATATGCCTATTCAAGGTAAAGTAACAGGTACACTTAAAAGACTAGTATATTTACCTTCCATTCGCTCCCCTGCTAGTTGTGGGTTCTTTCACATGCGCACAGAAAGAAGGTCCTTAACCTTGTGTAAGCTCCAGTCATACTTGCACCTTACATGGGGCTGTTTTAACTTTGCTTCAGCAGGCAAATTAGGCAGCGAGCAAAAGGAAAGTATGGAGAGCCGGGGCTGGCTGGTACATGAATCTTTTACTTTGCTTTCAATGGACAAAGTACAGGTTCACTCTAAGGAAAGGGTTGATCTTGTTAATCTCTCCCAAAGCAACCACAGAAATAATCCTCTGTGCCCCATCACTTCCCTGTATGTGTTTGAAAGGGCTCAAAATGAGGGTTTGCATGAATTGTGTGAGTGTACCTGGCATGCCGCACATGGGAAAGCAACATCAGTAAGTTGGCCAAACGGGAGGACTGCTGCCGGAAGGGAATTCCACTCTTGGCTATGACCCAGACCAGTCCATCAGTGACAGTGTTTAAGAGGTGGTGCAGTTTCCTGCTGCTGTCTGATTCCTCCTCAGAGCTTGATAATGGAAACATGTCTATGGGCGATACAAAGGAAAAATGACTTAAAGTATTACAAAGCAGCGTAATCTTCTCAGTTTTGGATATAATACACATAGGACATCATAATAATTAACACTGGACACCATTATGGGGTGCAGGTAATCTCTTTACAAGTACATCTATAAAATAGACTCCAAGCTGCTTCTCTTCCAATTTTCATCAATGGGAATTCAATAGCAGCTCTCAGGAGCTCAAAGCAGCTCAGAGGCGACTCAGAAGCATCTCATACACACATGCAAGCTGAATGCTTCTCAAAGCATGCTGCATTTACACTCACTAGCTACTTTATTAGATACACCTTTTCAATTGCTTGGTAACACAAACTGCTAATCACATGGCAGAAATTCAATGCATTTAGGCATCTAGACGTGGTAAAGACAACTTGCTGAAGACAAAACCGAGCATCAGAATGGGGAAGAAAGGGGATTTAAGTCACTTTGAACATGGCATGGTTGTTGGTGCCAGATGGGCTGATCTGAGTATTTCAGAAACTGCTGATCTACTGGGATTTTCACACACAATCATCTCTGGGGTTTACATACAAAGGTCCGAAATAGAGAAAATATCCAGTGAGCGGCAGTTGTATGGACGAAAATGCCTTGTTGATGGCAGAGGAGAATGGGCAGACCAGTTCGAGATGATAGAAAGGCAACAGTTACTCATGTTAATATGGACAAAAATCTCTCAGGAATGTTTTCAATACCTTGTTGAATCTATGCCCTAAAGAATGAAGGCAGTTCTGAATACAAAGGGGGTCCAACCCGGTACTAGCAAGGTGTTCCTAATAAAGTGGCCGGCGAGTGTATTTTTATATAGAAATCCTCAAATGTATGGAAACCCTAAATCTTTTTTTCAATATGGTTTGGCACCATGTCTCAACCTATACAGTTTGCATAAGCAAATTATTGTTTGTGAACCTATTGCAAGGTTTCTGATCTTAAGCCTCTGCCAGGAAAGGTACTTCATGCTGCAATCCAACAACATTAGTGTTAGTAAAGGCAAATTTTTATTTTTGTATTATTTTTTTTTTGGATAGAGTAAAGGAAGGTTATAACCCATCAGGTTGTGTTGCCATTTGTGTCACATTGAGGAGATTTCTCTTTGCATCCTGTCTCATAGCCACAACCAGAAGTGAGACAAAATTCTTCCAAAGTGATGGAATTCCGCTGTGTTACTAGGGTCACCAGAACTAATATCCCCATTGAAACATTTCCCCTCTATTCCTGCACTGGAGACAACCCATAATTTGGGATTTCCTTTTACTTTTACTTTTGGTTATAATGCTAAACAGAACAAATAGGAAGGGTGAATCTCTCTAACAGGGGCTCCGGCAGCAATAACAACCAAACAGAAGTTCTATTCCCTCTCCACTCTGTACAAAACAAAAAGTCAAAAATTTGCCTTTAGTGACACTTTAAGCCACTGCTATGCAATTAACAGCACCATGGTCAGCCTGTGGTTAGCGGCAGGTAAAAAAATTTGCTACAGATTTACAAAAATTTGCTTAACCCCTTCCTGCCTTCCTTAAGTGGACTATAACACTGGGAGGCCATGTTGCCAACACATGATCACTGGCTCTCACAGCAGTCGCATGTTTGGGAGCCCATCCTGATGGCTGTATTTATATATTTGGTAGCTTGGCTTTAAAGCTCACAGCCATGGTGTCACATATAGGCGTTTGGGCAGCATTAAGGTGTTAAAGACTAACAAATGTACCCTCAGACATCATAAGATGTTGGCACTTCATTATTGTTGCTTTAGACTAGGTCAGTTTTATTTTAGTTACGTAAAGGGACACAATCTACAGTATGCTGTACTCTTACTAGAATTCAGCAGGATCATGACCTTCAGGCACAGGTACTCTCTGTGTTGAAGTTTAAGCTCTCGAAATCTTGAAGTTGTAGCCAGCAGCATATCGAAGATTTCCAAAATTCCTTCCACGCATTTGCCTTCATCCCTGTAAATACAAAAATCAGTCTTCACCCACTGCTTCCACACTGTGCCATGAGTAAATTCTACTGACCACTCTCTAGCAATATTTACTGTAGGGTAAGGGATGCAGAAGTATTAAGGGCAGGCACAACCAGGCAAGCAGCATCTTTGGAAGGAGGTCAGCAATGGCAGCCACCATATTTTTCTCAGGACAGGTATAATGAATTCTTTTTATATTGCACCAACATCACCACTTTACAGAGTGCATTATGGATATCACTGAATTACACATCAGTCCTTGCCCCAAAACAGCCTACAATTTACAGAAAATATTTTTCTATTGCTAACCACTTCTGAAATGTTAGTTGTCTGTTTTTTTTTTTTTTTTTGCTTTAAGGTGGTACTCTAATTATTCTTAAAAATATCCCCTTCCCCCTCCTACTACCTACCCTTTGTACCCCGTATAAAAAAGATCTGTGTACATATCTTGTTTTTACACTGTGTGCACAATTAGGAAAGTGAGTATTTTGACCAACTCATCATTTTTATGCATATTCTCCAAATCCAAGCTGTAAAAATTTGAATGCTTATTGGATTTAAACATATCAGATGATGTGTATATGTGTAATGAGGGAGGGTGTGGCCTAAGGAGATCAACACCCTTATCGAGGTGTGCATAATTATTAGGCAGCTTCTTTTGCTCAGGCAAAATAGGCCAAAAAAGAGATTTAACTGACTCTGAAAAGTCAGAAATTGCAAGTCAGAGGAATGCAGCACTCTTGAAATATGCTAATATATTGGGGCGTGATAACAGAACCATCAAACGTTTTGTTGCAAATAGTCAACAGGGTCGCAAGAAACATGTTTAGAAAAAAAGGCACAAATTAACTGCCAAAGATTTAAGAAGAATCAAATGTGACGCTATCAGGAACCCATTATCCTCCAGTGTTGTCATTTTACAGAACTGCAACCTACCTGGAGTGCCAAGAAGTACAAGGTGTTCAGTGCTCAGAGACATGACCAAGGTAAGGAAAGCCTAAACCCGACCACCACTGAACAAGGCACATTAGTTGAAACGTCAACACTGGGCCAAGAAATATCTGAAGACAGTTTTTTCAAAGGTTTTATAGAATGATGAGATGAGAGTGACTCTTCACGGACCAGATGGATTGACCAGTGGATGGATCAGTAACAGGCACAAAGCTCCACTTCGACTCTTGTTGGACCTTTTTGGGTTTAGCATTATTATTATTATTATACAGGACTTATATAGCGCCGACAGTTTGCTCAGCGCTTTACATTATGGAGGGAGACAGTACAGTAACAATACAGTTCAATACAAGAGGGATTAGAGGGCCCTGCTAGTTGGAGTTTACAATCTAGGGGGAGGGGATAGTGGTACAAGAGGTAATTAGCTGTGGGGGATGGCGTGGTTGGGGAAGTAGGGGATTCCAGTAGTTAGCCGGGTCAGGGTAGGCTTCCCTGAAGAGATGAGTTTTCAGAGTGCGCCTAAAAGTGAGCAGGGTAGGCGATAGCCTGATAGCTTGAGGTAGGGAGTTCTAGAGGATGGGTGAAGCCCGTGAGAAATCCTGGAGACGAGCATGGGAGGAGGAGTCAAGGGAGCTAGAGAGTAGGAGGTCTTGCGAGAAGTGGAGAGTATGGTTTGGGTGGTATTTAGAGACAAGGTCGGTGATTATTGGGCCACTGAAATTAATGGGATTTTGTTTGTTGAGTGTTTCTTAGTAATTAGGGGCAGTGTTATGAACGGCTTTGTACGTCAGTGTTAGTGTTTTGAATTTTATGCGCTGGGCAATTGGAAGCCAGTGGAGGGATTGGCAGAGAGGGGTGGCAGATACAGAACGGTTAGTAAGGTGAATGAGTCTGACAGCAGCATTCATGATGGACTGGAGTGGGGATAGCCTGCGATGAGGTAGGCCAGTGAGGAGGGAGTTACAATAGTCAAGGCGTGATATAATAAAGGAGTGGATGAGTTGCTTAGTGGTTTCAGAGGTTAGGAACGGTCGTATCTTGGAGATGTTGCGGAGGTGAAGTCTACATGAGTTTGTCAGTGATTGGACCTGGGGCTCAAAGGACAGATTGGAGTCTAGGATTACGCCTAGCACCCTGGCGTGAGGGGTGGGACTGATGGTAGTGTTGATCTTGATGGAGAAGTTGGAGGGGGGGGCACATGCTGGGGGGAATACTAGAAGCTCAGTTTTGGAAAGGTTGAGTTTGAGGAAGTGGAGTGACATCCAGTCCGATATGTCACTTAGTAGGCTGGTGATGCAATCGGAGACTGAGGGGGTGAGGTGAGGGGTAGAGGATGGACTCAAAATCAGCTCCCAAAACCTACTTTCAATTTTTAGAAGACACTTTCTTAATGCAGTGGTACAGGAAAAAGTCTGCTTCTTTCAAAAAGACCATGATATTTATGTAGGATACTGCTCCATCGCATGCATCGAAGTACTCCACTGTGTGGCTAGCCAGTAAAGGCCTTAAAAATGAAAGAATAATGAGATGGGCCCCTTCCAAACCAGACCTAAACCCTATTGAGAACTAGTGGGCCCTTCATAAATGGAAGATTTACTGTGAAGGAAAACAGTACACCTCTCTGAACAGTGTCTGGGAGGCTGTGGTTGATGCTGCACAAAACGTTGATGGTCAACAGATCAAGAAACTGACAGACTCCATGAATAGAAGGATTATGACTGTTATTGAAAAGAAAGATGGCTATATTGGTCACTGATTTTTTTTTCTTTGAAATGTCAGAAATGTTCATGTGTTAATTTTGAGTTGTTTATTATTCTCACATTAACAGATGAAAATAAACAAGCGAGATGGGAAAATGTTTTTTTTTTTCATTTAGCTGCATAATAATTGTGAACACTAATAGTGGCCCAATAATTGTGCACACATAGATATTCTGCTAAGAAAGCCGAAACCTCACTTTTACTGTCTTAAATATTCAGGTTTGAGGTTTATTAACATTTTGGATTGACCGTGAGCACTGTAGTTGTTCAATAATGAATCCTCAAAAATACAACTTGCCTAATAATTGTGCACACAGTGTTTTTCAATCCAGTTGGTCAGGTGATTCAGCAGCTCCAATTCCCCTGTGTAAGGGAGCACTTGACAACAACTGTGAATTCCCAGTGCCTATAGACTTACATGGCCCAGCCATTGTCAACGCTACCTCCTCTCCCCTGCAGCAGCTGCTCTCTGACACGGTGAAGCTAGAGCTGCAGGATCATATGACCAGACCAGATATGGTCAGATTAAAAAAAGGGAATTACACAGATCTTTTTTATAGAGGGTAGGCAGGATAGATAGGAGGAGGTGGAAAGAAAGTTTTTAAGAGCAATTAGATTTAGGCTACATTCATACTTAGCGGAGCATTTTTTTTAGCAGATTTGCATATATTATAGATGTTTTTTCAGGCATTTTTCAACTAAAAGGTGTGGAGTGCTGCTTTTTGAGCAGAAAATCGCATGACAAAACGCTTGAAAACAAATGATCATGTCACGTTTTTCAAGGCGTTTCTATTCAAGTTTATGGGAACAAAAACACTCAAATCTGCCTGCAAAGAAGCTCATGTACTTTTATTAGCGACAAGCATTTTGGTACAGGAAATAAAACGCTCAACTGTGACCAAGGGCCACTGAAATTAATGGGATTTTGTTTGTTGAGCGTTTCTGAGCATCGAGCTGAAAAAAACTCCAGTGTGAACAGGGTCTTAGGCGTTTCTTCCACTTTGAGAACGACTGATCTGGAACAAGCTGTAGATTAGAAAAAGCAGTGAAGTCAGAATTCCAGCTCTGGACATCTGTTTCAGGTCACTGTATGTATGGAACTCATTTGTTCAGCATGACAGCTAGGCAACTAACATTTTCAGAAGGGGAAATCCACAGTGGCAGCCTTCATATTTCTCTCAGTACAGGATTTTTTTATATGGTTATACCATAGTGATGCCAACACACACCTTAGGGCCAGTTTTACAACCACAAAACATCAGCATGTTTTGCACTGATGAGTGGACACCAGGAGCCCTAATCTGAGTTATATGTAATAAACACATACACATTTTCATAGAGGGTAAGGGGTAAGTAGGTGGGCAGCAAAAATGCACTCCTGAAGTCTGATTCAGGGGCGGACTGACCATTTGGGAACTCGGGCACTGCCCAAGGGCACAGGGTCAGTAGGGGGCTCCATGAGATGCCCCTGGTACCTTTTTCATAGGCTTTTTTGAGTTTGGGCAAGGACACAGGGGCCCCATGATCCCTTATTGCCCAGGAGCCCTATGAGTTGTCAGTCCGCCCCTGGTCTGATTTAAGTAAATTCATTTCTTTCTGCTACCTTTTTCTCCAATCACATTCAAATGTGCAAGGCAGGACTGAAGTAGAATTCCAGGATCTAATGCACTTTAAATAGATCATTTACACTAGGTATGTGGGCAGCACAGTGGTTAAATGGTTAGCACTTCCACCTGGCAGTACTAACCAGTGCTAAGGTTGTTGGTTCAAATCCTAGCCACAGCACCATCTGCCTGGAGTTTGCATGTTCTCCCTCTGCCTGCGTGGGTTTCCTCCAGGTACTCCAGTTTCCTGCCACACTCCAAAGACATGCTGGTAGGTTAATTGGATCCTGTCCAAATCGGCCCTAATAAGTATATAAGTTAGGGACCTTAGATTGTACACCCCTTGAGGGTTAGGGACTGATGTGAATGTGCAATATATATATATATATGTAAATTGCCAGCACTATATAAGTACCTGTAATAAATAAAATAAATCATTTGGGCCAAGTTGAACTATTTCTATTACAAAAAATGCACCGTGCACACTGTAATCCTAGGTTCACACCTATGCATTTTCTGCAGCGGTTTGCATTTTGCAGAAGCACAGTACAGTCAATTTAACATGATTTCCTATGGGACATGTTCACATCTCCACATTTTCACCTGGTGCGTTTTTTGCAAAAGGGTCAGGGACCTTTATAATGCAAAAACTTGCATTTTTGGTTCTATAG